TTCTCCTTATCTACTTCGTTCCAGGAGGAGGCTCCCTCAGTCTGACAAGTGGTGGCGGCTCCAGTGGTCCGGGTGTTCTTGGTAGTCCAGGTAGCAGCCTTGCTGGGGCAGGTATTCGCGCTGGACGTCTACCTGGTGAAGTTGGCAGCATGGTGTCGGGAAGTGGAGGTGGTGGTGGGCTACAGAGTAATGGTACTTCTGGCGGCCCTTCAAATGCTTTGACTGACGGTTCAACTCTTGGTGGTGGTAGCGCCCGTGGAGGCGTTTCCACCTTGGCTGGTGGAGTCGGAGGTGCAAGCACAGGTGGCACAAAGCTGGGTGGTTACATATTCGACGACGTTGAGATATTGGTGAGACACTGTGCTTCATTTCATTAGACTTGTAGACGTACTATATCATTATATTTATCTGACAAGCTTCTTCTTTCAAGTTCATTCCATTTCGAAGGACTTTAATAAATGTCTGATCTAGACGATATGCTTGTTATCGTTGCGTTTGACATTAACATAATTGTTTATATGGCTCTTTCCGTATAACTTTTAATAAATGCTAATCCTTAATAGTAATACCGTATTTTCCGGCGTATAAGTTAATATATAGGTTTTGTAAGGAGGTAAGGGGCACAATAGGAGTTTGGAACCATAGTATGATTAGCGATCCCTGGACTACATTCGGCGTATAAGACGACCCCCCACTTAGAAGCAGAAATTTATGGTGTGAAAAGTCGTCTAATACGCCGGAAAATACTGTATATATTTTAATGAATAAGAAATAAGAACAAATAAAATAGAAATAATTAAAATAAATAATTGTGCTTTATAAATAGGCAGAAAATAAATGATCCTTTAATCTTATTATTTTACTCCCCAGCCCGAGATGGCTGCTCGCGAAAATCAGCTTGCCGACCATATCGATGAGTTCTCCTTTACTGTTGTTGTCCTGCCTGGCCAGGATCCAGGATTCGTCCATCTAGGCTGGGTAACCACACGATTTAAGCTCTCTTGCTCCGCTGTCGTTAGCAGTTGCACACCTTTTGATTCGGAGATGGAAACTGGTTTGTTTTTCTTTTTTTTCTGCTACAACCTTAATGCTTTTTTATTTTACTGCTTGCTTTAATTAATTTTTTTAATAAGTAACCAAAAGAATACACATTTCACATATAAATTAAGAGCGAGTGGGTCTTCTCTGATAAGGTTAAAATCAAAATTTGGGATATCAGAAGTGTATGGACACAATTTATAAATTGTCACCTTTTTGCATTAAAAGGATGAAGCGACATCTTTTATCTCAGACTAGTGTAATTTCAAAACCTTCCATTCTAGCAAAACCGATTGCTATATTTTAACGAATCCTTTTCCAACTCTCTTTCAATGAGTATTACGATTTCAGGCAACATCTCTCAAGGATCCATCACTAATCCACCCGGTATACCTACGAGTGCCCCAAGCAGCACTGGGGGTGCTACTGGACCTACTAGCTTTGGCTATAGCGAGACGCTTGAAGTGCGACAAGCTGCCGTCTGTCTTCTTGAGTCCGATTTAACCTTAAAGGTGATAGAATTTACACTTGATTCATTTCATTACTATTATATTTTGATTATCTACACAAAGATAACTGTTTTATTTAACGGCTTTAAAGTTCCTTCTCCACTTATTCAATCATCTATTATTATTATTTTTACTATTTAATAATCTATTTACAAGTCGGCTGTTGCCGAACGATCCAGCTTTATGGTGCATGTAGGCGATCTGCTAGCTCGAATCGGCACGCCCGAAGATATGGCGAAAAGAATGAGTCAGGGTCTCTCGATCACCTGCTGGGTGGATACTGCAACCGGTACTCTTGGCTTCGAAATAAACGGTCGAGAGACTGGTATTCGTTATCAGGTTGGTTGGGACGAGTTATTCTTTTTTACTATTTTAATCGCCTATTTATTGCTAAAAATGTTTGGTTTGTCAGTTCTTTAGCTAGGACTAGGCTACTGGAATCATCGACAACAATAATAACTGTGATGGTGTTTGTGCGACATTTTCGTAATCATTTTCAAGGATAAAATCATCTTTATTCAAAAGGCAAAGTTTACTGCATTCAATACCATCTTCATTAGTCTTAGATACCTTGTATCCATGTATAACATATTTACAAAATACTACCGACACAGTTGGCCCTCTAGCAAGTCTAAACAATGGTTTTTTTTAGGAAAGATTGCAAATCTGTTAAAAGCTACATCATTATGATGCATATTAGGATTCAGATCCATATCGCACCTGTCATCACTTATCTCCCAACAAGACTCATTTCTTTATCGCGAAAAAATAGAAACGATATTATCTTATCTTAATTGAGATCTGTTTAGGGTTATTAAGGACTTGTAGTAGAATTTTCCCACAATGATATGAGTATAGCTGACGTTTCCATTAATTTCACATAGCCTTGCTTTCGCAAAAGTTGTCCTCATTCAGAGTGGAGAGCAGTTTCGACCTCGCATATGTCTTGTCAACACCCCCAGCTGCAGTCCGCCCTGGATGAGAACAACTTTTGGTAAAGAAAGGCTCTGTGCAATTCAATGCTCACGTCATTGTTGAAAAATTCTACTACTAGTTCTTCATCACCTTAAATAAAATAGGATGAATGCACCTCATATATAACTTATTTACTGGAAATCTTGAAACTCTACTTATACGAAAATAATCTGATCTTGCTTGTTTGACCTCATTTTCGAAATTTGGCCAGAGAAACAGGGATATTTTGTGAAACGTAACTAGTCCTGCA